TGCAGCCCCTGTACAGACCAATATTTCCTAATTACATAACTAATCAATTAACGTGTAATGAGCTGTTTGGGGTTTCTCTGGGACAGAGCGGCCGGGTTGAATTAAGGCTATGAACACAAAACAAAACAAAAGCAGAACCACCAGAGAGATGTGTTGAACAACCAAAACAATTCACTAAACAACCATAAAGATAAATAAAATCAAAACAAAAAGATGTGCTAAACAACCAGAAAGAGATGCAAAATAACCACACAGAGACACTAAACCAGAAAGATACGCTAAAAAAAACAGATAAAGATGCTTAACAACTATGAAGAGATGAAAAACCACCAGAAAGAGTCACTAAACCAGGACGATAGGATACAAAATCACCACAAATAAACACAAAAGAACCTCAACATGATGCAAAACAACCAGATAGAGACACAATTAGATGTAAAACCACCGAACAGAGACGCTAAACAACCACCAAGAGACACAAAACCACCACAGGAGGAATGGGCAGCCCTTTACTTTTATGTTCAGTGTCTCATAATCTGTCCACACTCATCCATAAAAACAGCTTCTACAAACGGTCTCACAGCAGCTACAACTCCAGCTGCCTTTCTAAAGGAAACGTAAGACCTGCAGATTCCTTGAGTTCGTCCCAGTTTGGGTAAATCTAACGTTCACACAGAGAAACAACACCTGAGTCCATAAAGTCCTGAATAACCTCCAAAAAAACAAAGAGACGTGTAGCTGGAAAATGTTTTCACTCCCTTCATCTGTGTTCAGGAGAACATTCAGTCCTCAAACACACAAACACCACACAGGATTTATACGCCGAGGCCCAGCAGGATTTACGTTACCGTGTACATACAAACGTACAGGAGACGGTCTGAATGGAAACCAGCTGCAGCTCTGTAGACACCAGGTTAAGGGTTCACATGTACAAACACGGTTATATATATAAATACATATGTGGGTCCTCACTCCAGCCGAAGAACGGCGGCAGGCTCCACCCCAGCGAGTAGGCCCAGGCCGCCATCAGGATGAGCAGGGCCCGTTTCCGTGACAGCACGCCGATGGAGGTGAGGGGTCGCGTGATGACGAAGTAGCGGTCGACCGCGATCACCGTCAGCGTGATCATGGAGCAGATCCCGAAGAGAGCGCCGCAGAAGGCGTAGAGCTCGCAGCCTGCAGACGGACAGAGAGGAAGTGTCGGTATCTATCGAGGTATGGACCGACAGTCGTCAACAACAGCTTACACCCACGTACATCATGAGTTCCTAATGACTCCTACAGCTCTGAATGTTCTAGGAAGGAGTCATTGGAAACCCTGGTTCTTTGTCACAAAAACAATCATGTATTTTGGTTCTTTGAGAGATTTATTAAATCAAGAAATTCTCGTAGATTAATCGTATCAGCTGGACCTGCTTGAGTTCCTTGAAGACGTTTCATCCAAGAGGCTCCATCAGCTCTGACTGACTGGTTGGGAGTTCCACATCCTGATATCCTGACTCCTCATGACAGAACTAGTACAGCTGAACTAAACTTGTTGGCTTACTAACACAGACCTGTTTCTTCATCACAGCTCACAGGTTCTTGACGGGGTTTCAGTCAGGACTTTGGGGAAACCCTTAACTGTAGCCTGATTTAGCCATTTCTCCCACTTCTGATTTGTGTTTGGGGTCATTGTCTTGTTAGAACACCCAACTTCATCTAAGACCCAACCGTCAGACTCGAATGTGGCGTCCATCCTCCTTCATCGTTTCATTTGCTTTGTGTAAAAAGCCCCAGAGCAGGATGCTGCCACCGCCATGCTGGAGGGTACGTTTGGTGTTTCTGGGGTTTGAGGCATCACTTTCATTCCTCTAAATACACTCATACAGCTGCCCATAAAGGTGGACTCTACCTCTTCTCATGGAATGATTGGGACAATGCGATTCGTTCTTGATAGATAAAGTGTACATCTTCTCAAAACTTTATTGATTTCACAATATACATACAATACATATCACAATAAACATTAAACCACAGTTAACTTGTGCAAACTGTGTATTCAGGCTGAAACTAACTTGGGGCTATTGAACAGTAGGAGAAAGGGTTTGTTTCAGTTCAACCTTGGCTTTTTGAACAGGAAGCACATGTTCGAGGGGATTCCATGCATCAGAATGTCCAATATCACTCTTTAAATGTCACTAATGAGTCTGACCACCCCTGACATGGATCAATGTGTTAAGACGTGGTGGCGTTCTGTCCACCAGCTGGTTGATGGTGTCAGTGGGCAGGACGTCCCACTCTTCAGTCACATCCTGAAGTCAGAATTCATTCACCTGGTATCTGGGACTCAGTGTGTGATCACTGGACCTGGTCAGAAGTGATTACTGATGTGTAGAAATAGAAATACAAAGAGGAACGTGTCTGAAAACAAAAATCATTCCAGCTTGATGGTCATTGTGGCCAAATAGCTCAACTTTCCTCCAGGTGGCTTTCTCTTCACCCATCTGATCTCCTCTCTACTAACTGTCACATCTATCCTTCTATCCATTTACCTCCACAGCCTTCCTTCTATGTACCTACCTACAATGTTCTACCCACCTGTCCATCCATCCATCAGTAACTTCGTCACAGAGCGGCAGTGAATCAACACCTCCTCCACTCGCCCTTGTCTGTCTTCCTGTGCTCTCTGTGGGAGTTCAAACCCACTCCCTGTCATATTAAAACGACCTTGGAGCTTCACTCCAGAGAGACGGAGGAGGATCGACTCAAACACCTTCCTGTTTTCTCTCAGCTGGAATTCACGGATTCACACTTTGTGAGTAGGAACGGAGAGGAGACCTCGAAGGCTGAAGGTCGAGGGCGAGAAACGAGGACGGCGGGAGGACGAAGAGAAACTTCATCGCATCGCCGCCACAGGTCCGTTACATTCACACCTTCAGCTCCAGACGCAGCTCCACAGCTGTGACGCTTAAATGAACATCCTGTGGTCACTGATGGCACTGAAGCTGTTCTGACAACCCTCAGCTACAGAGCTACAGAATCTGATGCAACGCTGCATTATGGTAACAAAGCAGCACCAGAAATACTCCTTCATGTCAAAGTGAAACAGGTTTGTATAAAATAATATCAATTAATTTAAATATAAAATGTAAAATAACTGGCTGCATAAGCATTCAATCCCTTTAGAGGGACTCATCTAATTCAACTAGGGTGAGGGAAGTCACACAATTAGTGAAATGAAGGACAAGAAGCACGGCGGTGGCAGC